AGAAGCATTTTAATTATTTATTAAAAATCTTTTTTTGCAAAGGAAAAATAAATTAGGTGACAGAGGGATATCGAATATTGCAGAAGGTATTAGTAGTTGTACTAAACTCACGACTTTAACTTTAAATGCAGTGTAAATTTTGTTGATTAATGTTTATATATTAAAAAATTATTTTTCAATATAATTTAACACTTAATTGTAAATAAAAACTAAAAAAGTGAAAATTTACTTGGAAAAGAAGGTGCATTTTCTATAAGTACGGCGTTAAGTAGTTGTAAAATGTTGATTAATCTAGATATTAACCTCTCGTAATTAGTTTTAGTCTTTTTTTAGGGGAAATTTAAATTAATTTTAAGTAGTTTAATAAGTTTTTAATTAATTTATCCTTAAACATTTGTTAAGTTGTCAATAATTTTTATTTATATATCATTTTATGTTTTATTAGTAACAATTTAATTGGAGAAGAAGGAATATCAGCTATTTGTATATTATTAGGCAGCTGTTAATTACTTGAGAATTTAAAATTAACACTATGGTAATTTTTATTTTTCATTTTTTTAAAATTTAAAAAAATTTTAATATTTTTATTTTTTTTTTGATAATTATTCATAATGATTTTTTATATATAATTTTGTAAAAATTGGCTGCTGTCACTGTATATATATTAAGTTTTAATAAAATCTTTTAAATTTTAATTAAACATGAATTGCAAATATAAAAGCGGAAATTATATTGGGGATGATGGAGCTTCTACTATTGGTAAAGCACTTGGTAACTTCAAGTTCCTAACTAATCTCAAATTTGACATTTCGTATAAATATATTTTATTTATTTATTTATTGATAACTAAAAAAAGCTTGAATTATTTTTTATATTTTGATTTAAATTTCAAAACAAATTTAAATAGTAAATAAATTGATTTATTTTATTTGAAAAGGGGCAATGAAATCGGTGATAAAGGAGCATAAAATATTGGATTAGGTTTGAGTAACTGCACTCAACTTACAAATTTAGAATTTTGCATACGGTAAATTTATTTAATTTATAACTTTTAAAAAATTATGTCAAACCATTTTATTAAACTAAATTAAAAAAAACTTTGAATTTATAAAATGTCTTAAATTTTAATTAAACGTTATTTGCAAATATAAAAGCTACAATTAAATTGGGGATGATGGAGCTTCTACTATTGGTGCAGCACTTGGTAACTTCAAGTTCCTAACTAATCTCAAATTTAACATTTCGTAAAATTATATTTTATTTATTTATTTATTTATTTATTTATTTATTTATTTATTTATTGATAACTAAAAAAAGCTTGAATTATTTTTTATATTTTGATTTAAATTTCAAAACAAATTTAAATAGTAAATAAATTGATTTATTTTATTTGAAAAGGTTCAATAAAATCGGTGATAAAGGAGCATAAAATATTGGATTAGGTTTGAGTAACTGCACTCAACTTACAAATTTAGAATTTTACATAAGGTAAATTTATTTAATTTATAACTTTTAAAAAATTATGTCAAATCATTTTATTAAACTAAATTAAAAAAAACTTTGAATTTATAAAATGTCTTAAATTTTAATTAAACATGATTTGCAAATATAAAAGCAACAATTAAATTGGGGATGATGGAGCTTCTACTATTGGTGCAGCACTTGGTAACTTCAAGTTCCTAATTAATCTCACATTTTACATTTAGTAAAATTATATTTTATTTATTTATTGATAACTAAAAAAAGCTTGAATTATTTTATATATTTTGATTTAAATTTAAAAACAAATTTAAATAGTAAATAAATTGATTTATTTTATTTGAAAAGGGGCAATTAAATCGGTGATAAAGGAGCATAAAATATTGGATTAGGTTTGAGTAATTGCACTCAACTAACAAATTTAATTTTTAGCTCAGAGTAAATTTGATTTATTTCTTTTGAAAAAAATGATGTTAAAGCTTTTAAGATGTTATTTAAAATATCTTTATTTTATAAGTAATAATGAGAAGTTTCTAAAATCAAGAGAAATTATCAACTGTAAAAATATAAAGTTATTGCATATAAAGTAATTACTTTTTATTTTTTAAAATAAGATAATTTTAAGTAAAATTTTATATTTATTTAAAAAATAAATTTATATTTAATAAAAGAACATTGCCGGAATAAAGAAAAAGAGAAATCAAAAGATTATCTTAAAAAATAAAAAGATTAGTAAAATTAAATATTGACATACATAAAAAAAATTGAATATTAAAATTGTACAATCAATATATTTTTTGTTATTTATTTAGGAAAATGTTATTGGTTAAATATCACAAATTAATTACCATTAAAACAAATGATTAAAATCTTTTATATATTATGGTTTGTTTTTTATATGTTGGAAACTACATAAAATAAAACTGATTTCTTTGTGTATTATTAAAAAGATAATAAGCATAGACCAGAAGCTATGTAGAAAGTTGTACTTCTATCAACATTTGAGCAATTTGGGT